TGGGTCTCTAGATTAACAGTCCACCGATAATACCACTAGGCCACTGTGTACCCTTGTCAAATATCCTCTGGACATCCAAGCTTCCTTTTATCCAAAACGCATATTACTAAGAGAACAGAGAACAATACAGCGCAGGAACAGGCCCTTTGGCCCTACTTCAAAAAATTACAATGAATTGATTAAACATAATTTCCATTTCGCAAAACCTTGCAGCATCTTCCTGATTACTTTGAATTTCATTATGTGCTCAACTATGACATCCTTAATGATCAATTCTAACTTCTTCCTTCCAACAGATATCAAGCTAATTGGCCTAGAATTTCCTGTTATCCCTTCCCAAATGGAGAGGTTATATTTGCTACCGTCTAATCTTATGGAACGTTGACAGAATCACATCAATGCTTTGACTGTCTCATTAGTCACCTCTTTTAAGACTGTAGGGTGAAGTCCATCAGAAGCCATAGAACATAGAACAGTACAGCATAGGAATAGGCCCTTCGACCCACAATGTTGTGCCGAACATGATGCCAAATTAAACTAATCCCTTTTGCCTGCCCTTGGCCCATATCCCTCCATTACTTGCTTATCCATGTGCTCATGTAAATGTCTCTTAAAGGCCTCTATTGTATCTGCCTCCACCACCACCCCTGGCAGCATGTTCCACACTGCTACCACTCTCTGTGTAAACACTCCTACCACGCTCTGTGTAAACAACTTGCCCCTCTCCCCTTAAATGCATGTCCCCTAGTTTTAGACATTTCCAAGTCTGGGAAAAAGATTCTGACCGTCAACCCTATCGATGCATCTCAGAATTTTATAGACTTCTATCAAGTCACTCCTCAGCCTCCGCTGCTCCAGAGAAAACAACCTGAGTTTTTCTAGCCTCTCCTTATAGCTCATACCTTCTGATCCAGGCAACATCCTGGTAAACCTCTTCTGCACCCTCTCCACAGTGTGGCCTTACCAAAGTCTTATAAAGCTGCAACATGACATCCAGACTCTTGTACTCAACTCCCCAACCAATAAAGGCAAACATGTCATATACCTTCTTTACCACCCTATCCACTTGCAAGACCACTTTAAGGGAGCTATGGACTTGAAATCCCAAGCCAGTGACCAGGTAACCTGTAGTTTCATCAGCTTACTCAGTATCATTTCCTATATGATTGAAATGTCAGTAGATGCTTCTGTTTGTACAACTCCCTGATTTACAAGTATTACCGGGAATTTTTTGTGTCCTTTTGTGTGGTCCAAAACGTAGTGAAATGGTTAGTTTTTGTTTACATATCTGGCATGTTTTAACTTAAGAGGTTCATGAGGAAGAAGTGAGTTGGGGAAGAGCCAGGTGAGTCAAATAATTGGGCTGTCAGTAATGTGCCACTCTTCAATCCAATACAATTTGTCTCTGAAACCAATTCAGACTTGAGTCATAGTCAGGCAGCCGTACCTGATGAAAGGCGAAAACAATCCTTATTCAAGAAATCATTTCCTCAATCGCAGGCCACATTCTTTCCTCAAGTTCTGAAGCAAGGAAGAAGGTAACCTCTGAAGAAAAGTAAGCCAGTGGTCAAGTTCGATTTTTTGTAAATAAAATCAAAACAAAAGATGTATGCAAGTTGTACGGCAGTTTGAACATTGTGTTAACATGTTCATTGTGGAGGAAGGAATGTAATAACACCCTCTTGTAGCTTTTTTTTAATATGTATACTAGAATAAACTGCTTGCACTTTGTTATTGAACCTCCTTGTGCTACACATTGCTTAGTCCGTCCTGCAAAGATTTCACAGGAGGATTGTCACTGAAGCCCATGCCCTGAGAGGGAAGCCAGCCTAATAATTCCTTCCTTGTTATTTTGTCATATTTCTCTTCCTTCCTCCCCAGACTCAACTTGCCCTCTGCCACTACACCACATCTCACGACAGTGATGGTTTTGAAAAGCCCGGAGAGTTTCAGCCGCATCGCTGGCTGCGGAAGAACGACACAGATCGCGTGGATAACTTCGGAGCAATCCCGTTCGGTTACGGGGTGCGGAGCTGCGTGGGACGGAGGATTGCGGAGCTGGAGATACACCTAGCGCTTGTACAGGCAGGTCTTGCTGTTCCTCAGGTGGGCATGCAAGGGGTTCAGGGGATTGGAGAACCCTTGGCTCCCAAAGCCAGGATCGAATTTGCTGTTTTTAACGAGAAAGTGTGGTGATAGGTAATGAGTTTTATGAAATTGGTAGCGGGTTCTGAATTGCAGTGTTGAGGCAAATAAGACAAATATTCATAAACAATAACAGTTATAGGCCATCATTAAACTGAAAACTAATACAATAATGAAAGATTCAGAATTATAAACATTTCAAGGAACAAGCAGTTACAACATTTTACAAAATGCTGTTCTGCTTAACTTACTGAAGAAAAATTAAAGGTTCACAGCACTTTGTGTTTTATATTAATGTCCTTAGATCATATGTTATTAGGTTGAGTTCATTAAGTTCTCAATTAATTACACATTATTTGAATTTTATTAAATAGGGGAATAGGTTATCTCATACATGATTCGTATAACACCCCACCCCCGACACTTCCTGTCTCTTTACCTCTTTCTAGTCCCTGATGACTAGTTTAATTGTGAAAACTGGGCAGCATATGCAAGTTGGGCTGAAGGGCCTGTTTCTATGCTATAGACTTCTATGACTTCCATTGCTTTGCAAGGTCCTCCAGCTCTGGCCTTATGTCTGCTCCTCAATTCTATTGCTTCTCCTTTGGAGGCTGAGTTTTCTATTTAGACCATTGGCCTGTCCCTCCCTGAACTGATTAGATTTGAAGAACACATTTTAAAACAAAAGGGGCCTCCCATTTAAGATGGAGATGAGAAGAACTGACCTTCAAACCAACCTTTCTGTCCCCAAACTGCCGTGCCTTTCCTCTGAACCGACCTGTCCCTTTTCCTTTTAAGTCACTCATAAAACTTACCTCCTTGACCCAAGGTTTGGTCACCAATCCTAATATCATCCCCTGCACGACCTCATGCCGAACACCTCATGTCGTTGTTTGATGCGCTACTTCTTGAAGGCAATGTGCAAGTGCAGACTTGTTGTTGGTGGGAGACTGTGATTTACTTGGCTTCCCCCTTGCACTGACTGTGTTAACCTCCAATCTCTCCAGCTCCTGCAAGCCTTTGAGGTCCAGCTGGCCCCCAACACTGGGACAGTTCCTGCCAAAACGCAAGGCCTGCTGGGTCCAGGGAAGCCTATCGACCTGAAGTTTGTGGACAGGAAGTAATGTGACTGGCACGGACAAGGGAGGCACAAAGTGGGCACCTCAGGAACTGAAAGCGTTTCTGCCAGCGGATTTGACTTAATCTGTAGCGACGAGGCTTTCAAGACATCTGGATAAACAGCGACAGGCGATGAAGAAACACGACAGAGGCTTTGACTCGACTCATGCTTAACTGCGCACACAAAGTAGATTGTTCAACGTCACGTTGATGGGAAAGGTCATCATCTGTTGGAAGTGCCTGGATGAGGAATGTTTATTTGGTAACCACTTGGGAAGGCTTTAAGGTGACATATTGTCACTTCACAAACCGTAACACCACGCATCCCTGCCATTCATCCCCCATCCCACTTTTTTCTCCCATCCCTCCCCCCCCAACAATTTCTCAGTACCTCCACTGTCTGCCCTGCATGTGCTTAGGGGCCATTTTCCCTTGAAGACGAAATGGTGATGCATGACTTCTCAGCAATCCAGGAATGCCACACAAAAGTGGTGGCCCCTTTAAGACAGGCAACAGCCCAGCAACATTAAAGAGGCAGTAGAGATAGTAGGAACTGCAGATGCTGGAGAATCCGAGACAACAAGGTGCAGGGCTGGATGAACACAGGAGGCCAAGCAGCATCATAGGAGCAGAGAGGCTGACGTTTCGGGCCTAGACCCTTCATCAGAAAAGGGGGAGGGGAAGGGGGTTTTGAAATAAATAGGGAGAGAGTGGGAGGTGGATAGAAGAGGGATAGAGGAGAGGATAGGTGGAGAGGAAACAAACAGGTCGAAGAGGCGGGGATGGAGCCAGTAAAGGTGAGTGTAGGTAGGGAGTTAGGAAGGGGATAGGTCAGTCCAGGGAGGACGGACAGGTCAAGGGGGCAGGATGAGGTTGGTCGGTAGGAGATGGAGGTGCGGCTTGAGGTGGGAGGAGGGGATAGGTGGGAGGAAGAACAGGTTAGGGAGGCAGGGACGAGCTGGACTGGTTTTGGGATGCGGTAGGGGGAGGGGAGATTTTGAAACTTGTGAAATCCACATTGATACCATTGGGCTGCAGGGTTCCCAAGCGGAATATGAGTTGCTGTTCCTGCAACCTTCGGGTGGCATCGTTGTGGCACTGCAGGAGGCCCAGGATGGACATGTCGTCTGAGGAATGGGAGGGGGAGTTGAAATGGTTCACGACTGGGAGGTGCAGTTGTTTATTGCGAACCGAGCGTAGGTGTTCTGCAAAGCAGTCCCCGAGTCTCCGCTTGGTTTCCCCGATGTAGAGGAAGCCACACCGGGTACAGCGGATGCAGTATACCACATTGGCAGATGTGCAGGTGAACATCTGCTTGATGTGGAAAGTCTTCTTGGGGCCTGGGATGGGGGTGAGGGAGGAGGTATGGGGGCAGGTGTAGCACTTCCTGCGGTTGCAGGGAAAAGTGCCGGGTGTGGTGGAGCTGGAGGGGAGTGTGGAGCGGACAAGGGAGTCACGGAGAGAGTTGTCCCTCCGGAAAGCAGATAAGGGTGGGGAGGGAAAGATGTCTTTGGTGGTGGGGTCGGATTGCAGATGGCGGAAGTGTCGGAGGATGATGCGTTGGATCCGGAGGTTGGTGGGTTGGTACGTGAGGACGAGGGGGATTCTTTTTTGGTTCTTATTGCGTGGATGGGGTGTGAGGGATGAGGTGCGGGAGATGTGGGAGACACGGTTGAGGGCATTCTCGACCACCGAGGAGGGGAAGTTACGGTCCTTGAAAAATGAGGACAACTGAGATGTACGGGAGTGGAATGCCTCATCCTGGGAGCAGATGCGGCGGAGGCGAAGGAATTGGGAATAGGGGATAGCATTTTTGCAGGAAGGTGGGTGGGAGGAGGAGTATTCTAGGTAGTGCAGGTAGGTGGGTGGGAGGAGGAGTATTGCAGGAAGGTGGGTGGGAGGAGGAGTATTGCAGGAAGGTGGGTGGGAGGAGGAGTATTGCCATCCTTACCTGGTCTGGCCTAGATGTGACTCCAGACCCACAGCAATGTGGTTGACGCTCAACTACCCTCTGAAATAGCCAAGCAAACCACTCAGTTCAAGGGCACTTAAGGAGGTGAGAGATATTCTCATCCCACGAAAGAATAAAACTATCCTCGTCATTATATTTTCCTCAAATCTCCCTCCACTACTGACACTTATTGGAACAGCAGTGTATCCTATCTAGAAGATGCATTGCAGAAGTTCATCAAAGATCCTTGATAGTGCCTTCCCAACCCATGACCACTTGCATGTGGAAGGTCAAGGGCAGCAGATACATGGGAACGCCATCCCCCCAAGCCACACATCATCCTAACTTAGAAATGTATCCCCATTCCTTCACTGTTGCTGGGTCAAGATTCTGGAAGTCCCTTCCCAATGGAATTGCGGGTGTCCCTGCACCTCCACACAGTACAGCGGTTCAAGAAGGCAGCTCAGTACCACATTCTCAGAAGCACTTAATTGATGGGCAATGAATGCTGGCCCAGCCAGCAACACCCACATCCCATAGACGAATGTTGAAAAAAAAGTTGAGCCTTTAAGAGTTCTGAAGAATAATCACACTGGAGTTAAATCATTACCTCTGCTTCTGTCTCCACAGACGCTGCCTGGCCTGCTGAGTTTCTCCAGCTGCACTTACTGTTTTCATTACAGTAGCCACTCAGTTCCAAAAATCTGTAAGTTGCCGAAATGAGAAATAAATGCTTGCCTTGCCAGTGATATCCACATCCCGAGACTGAATATTTCAGTAATATTTGGTATAACGACACCCAATATTTGATGTCAGCTGCATGCTAGATATAAAAGGAACCTGATTTTACAGGTAGATACTGGTATATCTCCCCATGGCTGAGCCTTAGCTTCTATAGTAAATATTTATAAAGGAGCAGTTCAGTGTCATTTAGCTAAAGTTGAATTCTGATTTAACTAACAATATTGGATCACTGGAATCAGGTTGGGAAAAGAAAAGTAGTAAAATTATTAAATGTATCTGATCATCTGTTCAATTGATTTGAAGAACAGAATACTCTAAAAATTGAGAAGTTTCAGGTACAGTTTCAGTAGTGTCTAAGTCAGTCGGACAAGTCGCCATTTTGTCAGAAAATTGTGGGGTGGTTTCAAATCCGATGGCAACGCTAGTGCTGACTGACACTACTGCTGAGCTGAGGTGAAACTTTGTCTGCAAATGAATGGTGTTGTTTTAAAGAACTCGGTGGTGTTTTAGTCTGGCCAATATTTATCCAACTGATATCTCTACAATACAAATTATGTGGTCGTTGATCACGATGCTGTTTGGGGGTAGGACAGTATGGAAATTGCTCACTGCATTTCCTGGACTCCGACACATCCTACACTTCAGAATTAATTCACTGGATGCAAATTGCCTGTGTGAGCTCACCAAAGGCATGAGGTAATTGCAATTCATCCAGTTTCACAACTCCCTTCCAAACTCTCCAGTTTGTACATCCTCCCCTTTAATTGGTGAGCAGACCTTTCAATCTCTTGAACTCTCTTCCTAAACACCCCCTTGTGCTTTCCTACATGTCACTCCTGCCTCAACAGCCTTGAGAAATATCTTAATCCCTGTGAATCTGGCACCCAGTCATTTTGTCTATTTGCATTTGAGATAGTTTTTCCAACCTTCTTAGGACATAAGAAATAGGAACAGACATAGACTATTTGGCCCCTCTAGCTTGCTCTGCCATTCAATAGGATCTCCTCTTCTCCTTGAGTTCTCTAATTTTTAAACTCTAATTAGGTTTTACACTCCTCTTCAAGGGAAAGTATCTTTGCAGCAACCAATGTCTCTCACCATCCTGACATGGAAATATATCACTGTTTCTTCAGTGTCACTGGGTCAAAATCCTGGAACTCCCTCCCCAACAATAGTGGGCAGCACGGTAGCTCAGTGGTTACCACTGCTGCCTCACAGCGTCAAGGACCCAGGTTCAATTCCACCTTTGGGCAACAGTATGTGGGGGGTTTGCATATCCTCCCCATATCTGCGTGGGTTTCCTCCGTTTTCCTGCCACAGTCCAAAGATATGCAGGTTTTCATTGAATCATAGATTCCCTACAGTGTGGAAACAGGCCATTCGGCCTATCGAGTCCACACCAGCCCTCTGAGGAGCATCCCACCCCGACCCACCCCCACACCATCCCTACATTTCCCATCCCAGACACTGTTAGGTGGATTGGCCAATGCTAAATTACCCCATAGTGTCCAGGGATGGGTAGGTTAAGTGGATTAGACTTGGGAAATGCAGGGTTACAGGGAGAGGGTAGGATTGGAATGCACTTTGGAGAGTCGGTATGGATTCTACGGGCCTGCTTCAATACAGTAGGGATTCTATAAACATTGTGAGTCTACCAACAGCAAATACACTGCAGCAGTTCAAGAAGGCAGCTCCCACCACCTTCTCAAGGCCAACTAGGAGGGTGCAATAAATGCTGGCCAGCCAACGATGTTCACATCCCATGAATGAATTCAAAAAAATGCTGTCAAATTCCCTCAAAATCATAAAAATTTCATTAAAATCACCTCTCATTCTTCTAAACTCCAACAGACGTTGGGTTAACCTGCTCAATTCTTCCTCATAAGACAAACCCATTCATCTCAGGAATCATTCAAGTGAACCTTGCCTAATCTGCTGCTATGCAACCAAAAATTGACAGAGAATGGAACTGCTCCAATGCTGCAGATGTGGCTTACCTAGGAGCCTATACTCAAAAGGGCAACCAAAAGTTACGGGGCTAGTGGGTAATAGCAACTGATGCGGGATTAGTTGGATAGTTCTTCCAATGGGATAATACAGGTACAAGGGGCTGAATAGCCTGTTTGATTTTGTAACAAGCTGCACTCCTCCCATTTCTGTCCCTCTCTCCCTCTATCTGTCAGTACTTGCTTCTAATTGAGATTTCTAATCTGAAAAATATAACCGAATAACTGCATTTGCAGGAAATCAGAAATAAAAACAGAAATTCCCAGAGAAATTGGCATCATCTGTGGAGAGAAAACAGAGGTAACATTTCAGGTCCAGTGACCCTTCTTCAGAGCTTTCTAACCTGTTCATTTTAATTACATTTGTGGCACACAAGCTGAGCGATGTCAGTATGGGAGAACTGAACTCTTCATTTTTGCTTCTCTCTGTCCATTGTCCCAATCGCCCAATTACAGCAACCTGCATTTCCAGGTGAGGTTACAAGAAGATCAGTTGTAAAATGTCAAGAGCAGTTTGAAGCTTCCCCTACAATACTGAGGATGTGCTGCACTGTTGGATGTGTTGTCTTTCAGAGAAGACATTAAACTGAAGTCATTCTGCTCTCTCGGGTGAGTGTGAAAGATTTCATAACACAAAGAAATTCTCCCTAGTGTCCAGCTCACTGGTTACCAATTAAACAAGTTAAATAATACATCGCATTGTGGCTTTTGGAACCTTGTTGTTTGTGAATTGGTTGCCGTATTTCCAATATCACAAACATGACTGTGCTTCAAATGAATTTGGCTATAAACCACTTTGTGAGATTTTGAAAAATGATGTATAAAGGTAAATTCATTCTTAACACTTCCTCTGTTCTAG